TAGGTTAAGGGGTTGGTAAGGAGCCATATTGGATCCAAGATGGCGGATTTCCTTAGCAACCCCCCTCCAGATCGTCATCACTTCATCATACAGCAATGCTTTCCGTTTACAGAAAATTCGTATAACTAGAAAGAAGCGAGATCATGATTTTCTTTCTACCCTCTCAAAAGTTACTTTCTCCTGTTTTGTAATTTTACATTAGAGTTTTCTTCGCCAATTTTACGCTTTCGAATGCCCAGCCAACTAAACTGACTAGATCTTTAAAGTTGTAAATATTAGCTCAAAATCAAAAATATCAGGGGTGGCCGAACATGCCCCGCTCTCCCGATTGTAGATTTTTTGTACTGTTTGCATCAATGATGCCATTTTCTTCCGTCAAAGCTATGCAATATATGTTCTTGTGCGTAACTTATATGGTGGGTCGGGTGGCGCAGTGGATAGCGCACTCGTCTTCATCAAGATGGCCGGATTCGATCCCGGTCACCTGCCCGACCACGTGGGTTTTCTCTGGATACTCCGGTTTCCTCTTGCATTCAGAAGTAAATCCTCTGCGTTCTTTCGTCAAGATATTACAATGAAGTTAAAAAAAAAAAAAAAAAAAAAAAAAAAAAAAAGAGAACATTGTAATACTTTGATGTAACTGAGACTGTCGTTACATCGATATGTTATTTCAATTCATTTTATTTATTTATTTCCATTTTCATTTTTTTTTTTTATTATTTCAATATATTCTATTACTGATATAATTAGCAATAGGATTGGGCACAAGTTGAACAACTTATACGAAGCCCTTTTCCTACAATTTTACATTTAGTTTTCACTACAATTAAAGATGGCAAAACTACATACAATGTATGAATAACTACGTATTATAATATACACTTACTCCGAGCATACAAACTTCAACCACCAGTCGCTCACACACGCACCCACACATCCTTACACACATACTTTCAGACATAAGAGAAAGAGAGAGAGAGGGGGGGATGACAGAGAATGGGAGAGAGGGCGTATATTATATCGCATTGTTGAGATGGTATGAATGGTCTTTCCCGACATAGACGGCTCCATCATACACTTTGCACTTTTTCATACACTCAACTATTCAAATGTTCAACTATTCAATTCCTGTTCCATCCTGGAACACCGGATTGCATTTCAAATTGTGTTACAGTCATTGAGGTATGACAGGTAAGGTTGCCAAATAAAATGAAACAGTTTCTGCTGTAACTAGATATAAATCGGCACGCGGTATGAAAACGTAATACGTTGCTGGAAAAAGAGCGTTGACCTCGGGTTGGAGGTCTGGAAAATCATTGTTGATTTTGACGTGAATGCATTATCAATAGTTTACTTTTTATGAGTGGGGATGCATAAATAAATCACGCAACGACTATAACAATTTCGTTCATATTCTCAACAAATGGAAATCAAAAGCTGATGAAATTTTAGACGATGAAAAAAATAAACACGTAGACCTATTGTCTGTTTAATGCAGGCTCTATTTGAAGATATATCATGAAATATGAACAGAACCTGGTTGATGACAAAAAGGATCTTCAGAAAAAATCCGCATTTTTACTTACTATTGCTAAATCTTGTAATCCGAATAAAAAAATAACCATCAGATCTAATGAACCCCCTTTGCTATCAAACGAAATAAGGAGATTAATTCGTAAACGTAAGCTCGCTCATACAAAAGCCAAGCGTACCCTTACTGAAGCTCACCGGGCAAAGTATCGTCGACTTCGTAACAAATGTGTTAACACAATCAAGCATGGCAAATTAACATATTATTCTAATTTATGTAGCGAACTTCGCAAACCTTCTAACACTAGTGCTAAACAATGATGGAAAACTGTAAAGCAACTATTACCTAGCTCTGGTAAATTTTGTATACCACCATTGCTTCATAATAATAGCGCTGTCTCAGATGACTTTGAGAAAGCTTGCTTATTCAATGACTTCTTTTGTGCCCATTCTACAGTTGATGACTCCAATGTGAATCTCCCTAACATTAACGACGAATGTAATAATTCCTTATCTGATATTAATATCACAGCTAATGACGTCAGAGATGCTATTCTTACCACTAACTGTTCTAAGGCCATTGGTCCTGACCTGGTAAATCCTCGTCTTCTAAAGAATCAGTAAATATCATGTGTCCCCTTAAGAAATCTCTTTAACAGGCCAATTAGATCTGGGTTATTCCCATCTGAATGGAAGTTTGCTAACCTCATCCCTGTGCATAAAAAAAGAAAACAAGTCTATATTAACTAATTACAGACCTATATCACTGCCATCGATCGTTGGTAAATTAATGGAAAAATGTGTCTTCAAATATGTCTACAGGTTTTTGCACACTCACTCCCTCCTATCCCCCCATCAATCTGGGTTTAGGCACGGTGACTCACCAACAAATCAACTTCTTGCGATCATTCATGATATATATTTAGCCTTAGACAAGGGTAAGGAAATACGTATGGGCTTTTGTGATATTAGTAAAGCTTTCGATCGTGTTTGGCATAAAGGCCTTCTTTGTAAATTATCCAGCTATGGGATTCGAAATTCGCTATTAGTTCAGTTTAAACATTATCTTTCCGATCGAAAGCAGAGAGTTGTCATCGATGGTAAACATTCAAATTGGTTAAATGTTAAGGCTGGTGTTCCACAGGGCTCAATTTTTGGACCTGTTTTATTTCTGATATATATCAATGACATTGTTAAAGATATACAAGCTAAAATAAAGTTATTCGCTGATGACACCTCTCTTTACGTAACCGTTGATATTCCTAGAGTCAGTGCAGATATTCTTAATAGTGACCTTGATAAATTTCATAACTGGTCGCAAACATAGTTAGTAAATGTTAACCCTTGCAAAACAGAAACCCTGCTCATTAGTAGAAAAACCATTAAACCGTTTCATCCTCCCTTAAATAGGAACAATACTAACATCTCCGAAGTTACTACACACAAGCATTTAGGTATTTTTTCTCTCTGGAAATGGTCATTGGAATGAACACATCAGTTATTTGATATCACCTAAAATAAATATCTTACCAAAATTTAAATTCTCTTTGGACAGGTATAGTCTCCAAACTATGTACTACACTCTTATTCGACCTATATTAGACTATGGCGATATCTTATGGGACTGCCTTACTAAAGCTCAATCTGAATTATTAGAAAATCTTCAATTAGAAGCAGCACGCATAGTCACTGGCGGCACTAGACTGAAACAAGTTGGCTTCCCCTCGAGGAAAGACGTAAACAGCACAAGCTTATTCTTTATCACAAAGTGGTTCATGGTCTGGCTCCTCAATTTCTTCTAGATATTCTACCTCAGCGTAACCGTAATTACCACAACCATGATACTCGCAAGGGAAATAATTTTCGTCCACTAGTTAGTCATACAAGTCTCTATAATAAATATTTTTTGCCATCTGTCATCAGTATCTGGAACTCCTTGCCTGACTATGTCAAGAACGACCCTTCAATTTATAAACTTAAAACCTATCTACGCAAGCCCTCTCACAAAATTAAAATTTTCTACTTTAATGGTACCAGACAGGGGCAGATACATCATGCCAGATTAAGAATGGAGTGTAGTTCCCTTAAGTTTTATCTATACCAGAGAAATCTAATTGATAGTCCTCTGTGTTCTTGCATGCAAGCAAATGAAACCAATGAACATTATCTATTACATTGTTGTCTTTTTCTCCACTACGTTTACATACATTTAACGAAATCAACCATGCACTCTCAACTGATTTACTATTGTTCGGGACTGATGAGCTTACAGATGACAAAAATGCCTTAATTTTTTCATCTGTACAAAACTTCATCATCCATTCTAGAAGATTTGACTAATTTCTATTCATTATACAACGATCCTTTGTATCACATCACCTTTTTCCTCTCCNCAGCTAAAATATCTTTGATCGACAACATTGAGACTATTTCTGTTTAATTTCCCTCAAACTTGTTCATTCCAGTGAAAAAATCTCATCAGCGCTCAGAATCAGGACATGCAATGCTACCAGTCTATGCTACCGTATGCAGAGTCGTCAGTTTGGTTTCAATTAAACTCACTGTCTGGAAATTCTGGCAAATTAAATATGACTGGATACCATCTACATAATATTATCTTCAGCATAATCTGATTCCTCAAAACTAAAAAAAGAAAAAAAAACGCAATCTGACGCTGTTTGGTAATAATGGCTGTTCTCGCTATCGCCTATTCCTTCGATGGTGACCGTAGGCTACAGGCGTTGAACTTGTGACGTCACAGCCGATAGGGGCTAAATCACCGCGAGTTACGATTATGCTAATTAGCAGAAGAAGGACAGGTGAAAATTCTACACTTTACACGTCGATATCTCGGTATCAGGATGACCGATTTTAATGTGGTTTTCGACATTTTTGTGTTTGGATCATATAGAATAATAATATATTCATTTCTATTTTCGTTCAGGGTACACTTTAAAAGTATGTATAATCTATCATAAACTATGAAAATACAAAAAAGTACTTAATAAATATCATTTCCAATTTCATAAAAAAAAAATACAAATAGAAAAGTATGTGTGACAGAAAATATGCATTATATATACTTTTCCCCACCCCCATCCCCACCCACCCACCACCACCACCAAAATGTAATAATAGGCTTTATGTATTCTTGATTACGCATTGAGCATGGAGCTCGTCTTCCGTATTATTTACAGCCTTATTTGGACCTAAACTTGAAGTGTTCAGTGTATTTTTTACACGTTTTATTGGTTTATAGCATTTCTTGGTAAAAATATAAATAGAGCCTATTATATCATCGTTGGGCTGGCATTTTTACTTAAAAAATGATCTCAAACGTGTACAAATAATCTAAACAATTGAGGTCCAAATATAGCTTTAACTAAAGTTCGTTTGCCTGTGCATCTGAATGTTAAGTACTCGCCTGACCACGTGTGGCTCAGGACGCCATGTTTGGAATAAACACGCGAGTTTGTATGTGTTCTCGCCTGACCACGCACGTGTCTAGTCCTGAGGTACATTGGTGATGTCGTGAACATCGTTCTCTAAAGGAGCTGTGCATATTGCGCGAGTAACGTACATGTATCTCACGTGCGCCCTATACCTGAGTGAGATGTGTCATGGTAGTATTTGATACACACCCGTAATTTGAAGGTGAGCGGCCAGTAAGCGGACGACAGGGACACAATGAAGATGGACTTCACTTGGACTGTTTCATTGTTATGTAGCTGTGCATGTTTTTTGACAGGTAAGTAATGTTTTGTGATCAAGAATTTGACATTAATGATTTTTTTTTATAGTATGCTTCAGTACAACTGTACTTAGAAAGATCTAAACTATAAAACTTTTTCCATATATGGTGTGATGTGTAGTTAATGGATAGTTCCGTAAATTGTACCGCTTGTTGTTACCCACGGCCCTTTTGCCAAACACAGTGGGTACCAATATGATTACAATATTTCTTCTTTCAGACTCTCCTCAAGCAACTCTTCTTTTTTGCCATCGAGTTCACGTCTTTGGAATTCGTTAAACAATACAATAAGAACATTGCCATCTTTAAATACTTTTAAATCTGTTATATCCAGTGGTGCAAATTCGTCTCCACCATCTTATAATTTTGGCGAACAGAATTTTAATATATTACATACGAAACTCAGGCATCAGTGCAGCTCTTTGAAAAGAGATTTGTTCCGTGTTAAGATTGTTGATAATCCATCATGCGCTTGTGGACATTCCTGTGAGGATGTTGGTCATTTTTTCTTAGAATGTAAACTTTTTAATACAGCACGAATTACGCTATTTCAAAACATAAACTCGTTGAATATATATCCAGTAAATTTAGGTTTATTTTTATTTGGGAATGAAAATCTGTCCGTAGATACCAATACAGAAGTATTCCGACACGTGCAACTTTTCATCAAATCCAGCAACAGATTTTAAGTAAAATATAATAATTGTAAGATATAGTGTGTATGCCTTGTTAAATGCTATCATTTAAATATCAATATGTACTGTATTAGAGGAAAAGGCGTTGATAAGTTGATATAACTTGTGCCTAATCCTCTGCTCACATTTGGGGCAATACCTATGTTTAAACCAAAAAAATAATCATATATGATGTGATGAGTAGTTAATAGATATTATTGAAAACAGTTTTTGTAATTTACACATAGCGATCAGTTTCTAATATAGAAAATAAAATCTAAAGAATTCAGATAGTTCACTTAAACAGGGTGGGCACAACGGATGGGTAATACCCCTGCATTTGGGGAACAGCTACCCATTTGAGTAACAATTTTATTACTGAAATGGGGAATAAAGTAAAACAAAAACACACAAAGTTCTTTTACTCATTATAAACAAAAAAGGGCGTCATTCTGTAAAAGATGTGGATTAATTAGGTTGCCTTACAAGCGTTAGCTGTAGGGAATTTTCCTTTAGCCCAGCGGTAGAGCATCGGGCTGGTGAGTCAAGGGTCGCGGGTTCGAGCCCCAGCGACGGCACTACTTTATCACTATTTCTCGTCCTATTACAATTGTTTCAACATAGTCAAATAAAACGTACACTGGGTTACAATTGTGCATACAAATATTTTTATTCAATTGTCTAATCTTTTGTGAACATGACAAATTGTATCGCCTCCATTGCTTATAGTTTGTCGTAGAGTAGCTATACATAGCACAGAAATAAAAACAACAATCATGCTTACCTGTCACATTTGCACTGAATGGTCCCATTGCAAACACACTGAAGTCTGATTTTTTGTCAAATTTAACGCTTTCACATTTTTTGAGTGTGTGGCATTGTTCAAAACTTGAAGCATTGCTAATCAACACTACAAATATTTCAGTTATCATAAAATATCTACAACATGTTAAACAAAGTGTTTTTTATTGAAATTGTATGGATAAAAGTTATTACATACAAGCTAAAAGCAAACAGGACACATAGTTTCATACAAAAAGAATGAAAAATTGAACCAAATACACACCAAGTCTTTATAATTCATTTATTCAAAATTTTACAATATTTTTGATCCTAATGAGAGTTGTCTACCTTGAAAAAAATCGGAACTTTTTGCAGAGGGATAGAATTTCTCCGACCAAAACGTCGTTCCGTTAATACGTCACTTTAACAAATAAGACAAAAACATTAATAAACTGCAACGGGCTCGACCACGCGCGTTATTTTATTACACAATAACTCACCTTCACCAACTACAAAACCACACATCACAAATAAATATCTACTCCGCGTCCTCCCTTTCAAAAAAATCAAATTATGCTTCATCTTTGTATAATATCTTTAAAATTTCCAAAAACAAGAAACTAGGTACATATGTAACCATAGGCTGTCGCATGGTATGCCGTTATCACGTGCACGCACATGCACATGCATTTTATAGGGATCTTGATATTTTCCAAACCAGTATTTTCACAGAGTTATTGTTATTGCATTTGTGAAATGATTTATCTGACGGAGCGTAACTCGCTCGACAACAAAAGTTGTAATGAACCCGAGCTTGTGAACTACTGTTAGCACGTGATATGTACAGGTGAGGTCGGTAAACACTGCATCTCATGCGCCTCATATACGACCTTCTTGCAGTCATCTTATCGTATGTCAGTGTCTTCCCGTTAGTTAATATATGTCTTTGTATCATAAGCTTTATTTCTGAAATACGCGTGATTACACATTTCCCAGTTAAGTCCCGATATCGGGTGTTGACATATCGTCATGCACGTGTACTATTGTTTACCCGGTGTTACTATAATTTACACCTCGGTAATGGAATGCCCGATACGCAATACGGAAATGACGACACGAAAATACGACAAGAAAAACATGTGTATTACGAAGGGTGGGAAGTCCTTAACTTGGAAATTGAAATATACAAACGTCAATACATTGATATTTTGAGGATTTGACAAGAACCGGTAGTAAGGCTGGGCACAACGGCGCATATTGTTATAACCTGCTACATCTTGCATTTGGTAACAGTTTAAAGTGAAATAAAAATACGAAGTTTTTTAAATATTATGAACAAAAAGAGGCGTCATTCTTTCAATATAATCCAATGAATAATACAATCAAATGTAATTGTGCCAATTGTGCGCAAAAATATGTAAATTCAGCTATCTATTATTTGTCACCTCCACTGCTAACAGCACACGGCAAAAATCGTGATCACCTTTCACATTTGCACTGGATGATCCAATTGAATACACACTGAAGTCGACGGAACACAAAGTCAGTGACAACGTTTGTCATTATAAAATAAAAGTTAGATATTAGAATTAATCACTTTTTGTTAACATTTCTTTCACTCAATATTTCAGCAATAAAATTGCAACTCCAATATTGATAGTGACTCAATACAGAGCTTCATTATTAGAATTTTAGTGCATTTCGGTTAAATGCTAATTATAAACCATGGTATTCTCCTTAATAACATTATTGTATTTCTAATATTCTTATTTTCCCGTTAAAAAATATATCGCAACATATCGCAAGGAATTCATATTTGATTAAGGGTCTAACTAATTAATTGTCCTCCTTAAAATGACCTTGATCTATTTTCAATGTCACTGGGGTCCAATATGTAAATATTTTTAAATGATATCTCCTGGCCTGTAGCATGAAGGGATAAATGGCCATCAATATTTTTTAAATGAATCACCTTAATCCCAACTCCAAGGTCAATTTAGCCATTAGCATGCTAAGGTTAAAGCATTATGAGTTTGTTCAAAGAAATGACCTCGACCAATTTCAAGGTCACAGGGGTCGAATGTGTTAAAGCATTAACAAAGAGACTTAGGGGCAATATTTTTGCCTGTGTCATTTAAGGTCGGAGGTCATTCCCATTTCCCCTAGTTTAAATACCTTCACCCACTGTCTTAAGTCATTTGTGTCATATCCATTAAAAAATTTGGTTAAAAATCATGATATTTTGCATATTTTGGTGTTTTTTTGATGTGGTAACCATGGTTTTCACAAGTCCCAAATCTGGGGATAACAGTTTTTGAAAAAAAAAATCAGTCTTCTAAACAAAATGAAATCAAAATGTAGTTTATAAATATGTATATATATGAAGGTGTGTTGTGCAGGTTGAATTCACTATCCATGTTCATGTGAGACATACCCTTTATATTTAGGATCAAGCCATTTCTACTGTACACTGCTACCTTATAAGATACTAGCAGCCATCGTACGCTACTGTACACTGCTACCTTGTACCTTGCTACCTTGTACCTTGCATGTAAAAGTTATCTTTCTTGAAAAACTTCACAGTAGTGAAATAGGTAGTCGGTTTCCTGAAGTACAGAAAAATGGACACATGTGACTCATTGATAAAAAAAAAACCTGAATTAATGCCTGGATTGCTTTGAAATACTTTAATATTGAGAGCACATACTGTTCTGTCAACAATAAACATACAATATTCATCAGTTTAAGTTTAAACAATGCGGAAATTGTGATACTGTCTCCCTGCATTGGATTTTCATCTAGGGATGTACTTCCTATTTCCGTTAGACCTAAGTATTCGATAATGTATAACCATACAATGTATTAGATTAAATAAGTTTGTTTGTCCTTACCGATAATGCCACGACAGCTGAACAAAATATGTCGTTTCCGAGATACGGGGAATAAAATTCACATGATTTGGTGGTCACGTGGTTTGTTAGGGGGAGGTGGATGTAAACTTCCGGTGTAAAGTAAATCGGTGGCAAGTAAGAAGTCGAAGTAAGAAATTGGTAAATTTCTACGAAAAAATGGCTGAAATTTTATGTTCTTCAAGGAAAGGATATTTGCTGAGTAGTACCATGTTGTTAGGCATGCAGTCTGGTACCATATACCAGGTTCCTTTGGGGGTTTTCATACTTTTTCGTGCATTTCTCAGATTTTCGGTGTAAACCGAAAGTACACATGCCCCCTATCACGTGACATGCGTTTTCGAAACCTGGTCGCAACGACGTATAAGATGTCGATTATACATTTAATATTCAGGGATGCAGTCGTATTCTATCATCTATTTTCGTTGATATTTTCTCAACAGGCACTTCCGTTTCATCGATATCACGTCAGGTTAAATTAGACCGGTTATCCGAATTGGCCCAGCATCTTCAGTATCGACTCATAAATCCTGGTAACTCGTCTACTTCTGCGTCATCAACAAAACAGTCCTGGGTCCTCTGTCCAGTTCTAGAGAGACTGCTCGAGGAATACATGAGTGGATTTCCGGAAGTGGATAAGGCAATAGGTAAGTAGTAGTGTACGGGGTTAATGAGGGGGGTCACATCTATTTTTATAAACGGTCTCTGTTGGAGACGTTTTGGAAAGAGAGTAACTTCAACGAGTTTGCAAAAGCAAATTCATTTTTTCATCGCGAGACAACAGCTATAAGATCAAAATGTCCTCAACGGAAGAAAGTAGTGGTTTAAGTACATGATAGGATAGTCCGAATTACACACATGTCGCACATGGATCGAAAGATCTATTCTTTATGTACAAGATGAACATAAATTACATGCCTCAAATAACCAGTACAATCACTAAAAACATATTTTTTCAAACTTACTCTGTTTTACTCTAGTTTTTTTGATAGCCCCACCACCTAATGCCACGTGACTAAGATATCGCCGGCCTAAGTCATAACGTTGGGAAATACCTTCGGTAACGCGAGATCTCGTCAAGTCATGTGACATTGCTCATGCCCTAATTTCCGTTAAAAACATGGTTTGGTATAGAAAACGTTGGAAAATACTGTTCGTAATGATCTTTGAAACATGTTATTGATACCACCTAGTGCATAAAGAATAGATCTTTCGATCCACGTGCGACATATGTGTGAAAGTGACAATTTGTTTCTAAAATATCAGTTTGAAGTGCGACCCGGGCGCGGGTTGCTTATTTCCCGCATATTATAGAGGGCCGGAGTTCTGACGTTAATCGACGACAGACCGATATAAGAAAAAATGTCGATAAAACGTCAGAATAATTCGGACTAATGATTGGACAATCATCTTTCAAAGATGACAGAACTGACCGATATGATGCTGGTGTTCGCATTTATCACCGTTAAGTGAAAGTACAGTTTTTACTATAGAACTTCCTATGATAATGAAGTTACCCAATCAGCATCCTATATTTGGTCATGTGATCTGGTTTGTGATGTTACAATTAAAATGTGATTCTACCAAACAAACAAAAAACCGGAGAGGATCATAGAGTTTTATAGAACAGTAATCACTGTGTAGGACTGACACCGGATATAGCTAGTACCGAAGCGGGCATGGACGCTAGTCGCAGACAAGCCACGGGATGCTTTCCGATATTTCTGGTATTATCTGGTAGCGTAGAGACAAAAAAAAGGAGCACAACAGTTATACAATGAACAATGATGTCTGTGAAGCAGATGATTTGTAAACTATTTCATGCGATCTGAAGATATTAGTAAAAAATGACTTCAAAGTACCGGTACAAAATCGTTTACAAAGAAGGAAGAAGAGATAAATATTAAAGTATGACATATACGATGATGAAACAGACGTTACTAGCATATGCAGATGAGACCGGGATAAACATATAATGATCATATATATAAACGTAGTCATTACGATGTAATTGACTTAAATGTGTTTTCGTCTGTGTACGGCGAATAGTTGTTGATACATTTTCAAGTGTACGGCAACTAGCATGTTAACGGTACGGCGAATAGCTATACTAACATAACCATGTTTAGAGCGAGCATTTGTACTAGTTATGTTTTTAAGGTTGTTATACCATTGGAGTAACATACCAATGGTGTTGCTTTGCAACACTTTTGAATGATATCGTTAGGGAAGGGGTTAAGAATGTCCAAAGTCTAATGAATGTCGAATTAAATAATGATAAGGAGTACCCATTTTTCACATGCAATAACACAACTTAAGCTGTGACCTTGACAATAGCGATGGAGAGTTTGAACTTTAGCTGTGACCTTGGCAATATCGGTTGAGAGTTGGAACTTTAGCTGTGACCTTGGCAATAGCGGTGGAGAGTTGGAACTTTAGCTGTGACCTTGGCAATAGCGATTGAGTGTTGGAACTTTAGCTATGACCTTGACAACAGTGGTGGAGAGTTTGGACTTAGACAGGAGGTGACATACTCTTTCCCTGTCACAACGTTAGTATATATAAGGGGGAGGGGCTGCACAAGAAATTTTAAGGGTGATGTAGAGAAAATCTGCACTAATACCTAGATTTGCAAAGAAATACACGATAGTTAAGTTGATATATCCTCAATTTATACACAGTTATCTGTAAACAGCAAGTGGTAAAGGCAATACAGACGTCTGAGAGTGTTAAATATGTATACCTTTATCAGGCAATGGGCAAAGTCTGTTTCATTCCTACTCAAGAAGTCTATTATCACTTTATTTTCATCAACTTTTAATAGACACTTTTAAATTATGGTCTGAAACTTTGTTTTATAATTGGTACTTAAAAAAATATTTTGCAACAATTTTTGCAACCCTAATATTTTGAGGGCTGAAAAACAGACACACAACTATCAGTTTGGCCTATCCTTTTTTCTACAGCACAGGTAGACTAGTGGTTATCTGACTTACCTGTGCAACTGTATTGAGTGCATTGTTGATTCTTGTAATCTTTGGTAATCTTACGTACGATAAGGTGCATGCATTTTACACTGTAGGAGATTTACGGTAATCGGGGAACGTTAGTTTCAGTTTAGCTTTAACAAAATATATCACATTTAGGCGAAGTGTTCACTTGAATACTGTATACCTTATGACCTTTCCGCCGTACACCAGTTATTTTAAACATTCCTATTCGCCGTACAATGTATTGCTATTCGCCGTACACTTCACCAAAATCTAAAGAAAGAAGCATAATAATGAGTGACTCCATGTATTATCATGACTATATAACTATAAGAAATCATCTTAGCATATAAATGTATATAATATACTGGCAAATATCAAGTCAAGACAATATTTGCTGTTTCGAATGAAGATTTGGCGGTACTAGGTAGACTGTTTTTGTAAATAATTTGCAACTACACCAAAACAATTACATGCCTCCTGTTTCAGATATGAATTTCGTCCATGCCTGACTGTCGTGCTTCTTTATTTGTCTCTACACTACCAGAAAATACATGAAATATCGAAAACTTTACGTGATTTGACTACGCCCGGCTTCTTCCATGCCCGCTTCGGTACTAGCTATACCCGGTGTCAGTCCTACACAGTGGTAATGACTTCAAGAAATCAAAATAAATGTATACGTAATAATCATTGTACTTATCACAACTCAGTACCCAGCACTACTTCTATAGAACGTATCGCAATGTATAGCTAACTAGTCGTTTTCATTTAGATTCCTTCCAGATATCCCACGCGGCTATCAACACCACATTGCAGAGAGTGGCGAATGCATTCTCCTTTTTACGGGACCCGAGATTAACCGAGGACCTGCTGATCAATGATTTGGGTCGATTGATCCTGGATAAACGGGTTAATTGTACCGTCACTATGTATGAGAAGGTGTTTATATGTAAGTAAACGGTAGGTGGGGGTGGGGATAGGTTGTTTATATGTAAGTAAACGGGAGGTGGGGGTGGGGATGGGGTGTTTATATGTAAGTAAACGGGAGGTGGGGTGGGAATGGGGTGTTTATATGGAAGTAAACGGGAGGTGGGGGTGGGGAAGTGTATATGTAAGTAAACGAGAGGTGGGGGTGGAGATGGGTGAGTTTATATGTAAGTAAACGGAAGGTGGGGGTGGGGATGGGGTAGTTTATATGGAGGTAAATGGGAGGTGGGGGAGGGGATGGGGGAGTTTATATGTAAGTAAACGGGAGGTTCGTGTTGATGTGGGGTGTTAAATAATATGTAAGCAAACTGTAGGTCGGGGTTGGGGTGTTTATATGTAAGCAAATGGGAGGGGGNTTTATATGTAAGCAAACGGGAGTTGTGGGGGGGGGGGCGATGGGGGGTTTATATGTAAGCAAACTGGACCTCGGGGTACGGGGTGTTTATATGTATGTAACGTATGTCATTATTTTTTTAATTCCTCCCCCAGGAGTCGAACCCGGGACCTCTGGTTTACTAGTCTTACGCTCTACCGAATGTTCTCCCTAGCCGAATCGGTAGGAAGCGTTACCAGAGCAACATGTAAGCAAAAGGGAGGTTAATGTTACTTCCACTCGTTGCTTAATCAGGTTAGAATGATCCTTTCTTGTGTGTTGCATCGAATTGTTTTGTGTGCCTGTACCGCGATACATTTGCAATTCTAAAATCATCAATCAATTTATCGTAATTAACTCTAAAGAGGTGTACTTATCATTTTGGAATATTTCAGTAAAGAGACGGTCCACTTTGAAATCATACATAAAAGTACTGAAAAACGTTCAATTTTTTATCTTAATTAACACTATGGCAAAATTCGGTAAAATCGTTTGCTCAAACGTTATGAAAATGACTTTTTAAGCAGAAATGTGTATCGTGATACAAATGAACACATCTTATCGTAAGCATCGTACCGCGATACGTATCGTATCGTGAGTTATGCGAATTGTTTCAGCCCTAGATTACATACAAAAAATACACGTGTAAAAGAGCACTCTACTTAAGTTAAAAATCAGATTGAACGATTTTTAAATGAAGTAGAATTTATATTTTTGAAGCATTATTGTATATTGTGGTACAATAGATAATTTGGTATTTGGAAATGTTGGAAAATTATTTAACTCCGGTAGAGAGGGTCTTACAGTTAATCGTTTACCCTTTTTTCTAATCCTAAAAATATAAACCACATGGCTATGTTGATTATTTCTTAAATATATGCCCATTCTATAGAGTAATTTTAATTATCATACAAAATCACAAGGGGAAATAACTCTTCCATGACACTGACTAGATTATTTAAACATAATTCAGTACTTTTCGTAAAAACAAAATTGGCTATCTCAAAAGAGAGAGCTACAACAGGTCCAGGTCTTTTATTCAACAATATAGGCTTATGCATCACAATCAAAATTGTTAGCGTCAAATCCTTATACAATGTAAATGCGGTCATTAAGACGTTTTGGCAGTGAACAAATATGAAAAATTAATGACATTTTGCGGGGAAAAACATAACATAAACCACTTCAGGTACCTTAAATGCCCTTTTGATAAATAGGTCCCTCACGATTTAAAGTACCCAATTACTAGTACATATCAGCTTTACTTTATACCCATTTTTCTATAAGGACGCCTATCGTTTTTGCATACTCTCAAGAGATCATTTTCAAAAATCATTACCATATCTATTTTATCAAAACAGCTTAATTATTAAGAAAACAGTTAACATCCCGACACAAGTGTTTATTGTTGGTGCTATTTCAAAGTGTGTTGTGTGTTACAGATGCAATGATGAAACATTTGAATGCGATGATGACTCGTAATGAAGAGTCCATGTTGAGTCAGGTGATAAAAATCATTGTACATCACTTCCCGAACAGACCGGATATGATTTTCCTGTCACCTCAAATCGTATATGCCGTACATGATATCGTGTTCCAGGGGATCATTGACACACTCCGCCTGGCAGAGTTCCGATGTACGGTTTTATATTTACATTTACTCTGCATCCTGTCATTGTAATGCATTGTAACGGCAAATGTTGTTATGAGACTATTTACATTTTGATAGTAGTTCTACTTTATCTATATATTTCGAACAGTTTTTGAACTGCAAATCAAGTGTTGACAACAATGAAATTGATGACGTAACAATATAGATTGATGACGTTTCAATAACAAATGTTGTCCGCTCGTTGACGCACTGACCACCAAAATATATAACTACGCGAGCTTCTACATATCCATCTATCTCGAACTTTACTATAACTGCTTACTAATAAATAATGCTGTTGGTGTAGCCTTCTTAGCCTTTTGGAAAGCTAATACTTGTGGTACTATAACGCACATTTCTATTACTGAAAAACTCATTCATCAATAGCAACGCGGTTATAGGACCATCACAACATTTGCTTAAACATTCATTGCTTACATGTAAATGTTGCGGAGACGGGGAAAAGGGGTGTTGTCTATGTTTCAGGAGGACCCCGACCCAACCCTCACCCCCATCCCCACCCCCCATCCCCACCCCTCATCCCGCTCCCCTTTGCATATGATTTGTAGGACCACACATTTCCCCATTTGTGGCTCATTCGATACAAAGGATCGGTGGGTTTTTTTGCATTGGGTCCGTACATTCACAGTGATTAATAAAAAACAGAAGTCACCGAGTCCCTGGCAATATTTGGCCGCCAGTAAGTACCAAGAATGAAATACTATAAATTTCATCTTATTATTGGCTTTGATCTTCTTCCGAACTCATGTGGATCAAAATTCAAACAACAGTATCGAAAGAACCCGTTAGTCTACAGCCATCATGTTTGGGTAGATATATTGTGTTAAGGTCAAAGGTCAATTCTTTAGGGGGTCAGAACCTGGATATAGTTGAGGGCCCTACCTAATAACCACAAAATAGCTTGATAGATTTTTCTGCAGAGGCAAACACAACCATGAACCCATGTTTGCGTGCAGGGCACGACCACGACCATGACGAAGCGGTTGTTATTCCTAACATAAATAAATTAAAATATTACCATACATGTATATACCTACACAAGGATTTTAACCGAATTTGCTACGAAGCACCCTTGGTCCGTTGGTTCGGAACTGGGCCCAATCGGGTAATTTGAGTGGTAATTTTGAAAAGCACTTTCCTCCTGAACAGTAGACCACATTTCCATCATATTTTGCTATGAAGCGTTTTTGCATAAGGGAGTCAGTTCTTAGGTAAAACAATTATCTTGTTCCCAGGGTAATGAAACGCAAAACAGAAAATAGGAAAAAGTATGTACATGTTATATTATAGAAAGAGAATAACTTACCAATATTGTTATATTAATTCTTAGACATACGATTTGTAATACTGCAATACCATAAGTTACGATTATATGTATATATCATAAACTATGACTTCCCAAAATGCATTGCTCTGATGGTCGGGAAATGGGACTGATGCCACTTGCTGAAGTAATTAAAGGTCGGGCTGTTCTACATTCCAGATTTGGACGGATTTTTATTCTTTGTCAGTGACCAAATGCATCACGCTTTTGAAGAGGATGCAAATCCTTCTTCTGATGTTTTGTTTACGACCCTGTCTAACATATTGGAGGAAGAAATACCCATGTTCCCTAAGATGTGGACGTGTACCTCACCCACGGACTTCCTTATAATCCATGAGGCTGTTCTCGGGCAGTTCAGCGATCAGTAAGTCTAACGGATCAATACAAATTTGTTCGGTACTATTGCCTAATTGTGTAATTTGAGTACATGTAAAGAATATTGCTCTTGTCAATGAAATGACTTTTTTTTGTACGGAAATAAACATTGCTAATACCGTTTTTGCATTACTATTTTGGTAAAATCACAAATGATTAATACATTTTAAAATGGCTTTTCATTTCAATATTAACCCAAATGTGTTGCTTCTACTGTTAAAGATGGAAATGTTGTGTACAACTCATTTCAATATTTTGTGTTGATGAACTCGGATGGATAATGCAACATACAAAGAATTATTTTCACCAATTTACAAATTGCAATTGACAAAGTTTGATTATTGAAATACTGAGTAGAATATTAATTGTGTTGGTATGATTGAAGGGAGACAAACTTTCAAAAAATAGGGGGTTATCTCCCTTTAATAATTGTGTTCAACAAACCATATATCATTATTCTTAATAGATAATCTTCTTCCATTAACCAGTCAACATCATAATTGATGGCCTTACTGGTATAATCCACTTGATTTACGGACTTGCAACTCGTGAAATGCATTTTAAGATAGCATGATGCATGTAAAAGTGGATACTTTATTTGCAAATAAATGCATCAGGAAATATTCATTCACGCTGAGAAAATGATATATATAAGAAACTATATATTTCTATGGGTCTTTTAAGTTTCGAACTTCAACACTTGGTAAACCAAACGAAATTCCTTTGAAGGAAAGATTTTTGTATATTAACGTGGTTTATGGCAGAGCAAATTGTCGAAGGATCGGGGATCGTTCAATTGTCCCGAATAAAATCTATATATCTAGATTATTATATACAGTATTTGTTTTCCATAAATAGACATTCATCTTTCATATTATGTATTATAGAGAATAGGACGGTAAACAAGCATTGGAAAGTTTCAACAACCTGAATATAATACCCCAGTAGAGCTAGTAAGATGGATAACAGGGACAGGAGAGTCAATACATGGTGTGCGTTTGACTTTGACTTGGTGTGTTCAGAGCATAAGACGAATTAGAAGTTTAGATCTGTAAAGTGTGCCCCCATTCCTTCGCCGATCCCCCAAATGATGTGACCATTTTTCATTCGTGAAGGGTTTAAATTACACCGAGTGCTCATATAAACTTCAAAACGTCTAAAATTATTCCCTTCACATCAGGATAGGTCCAAATACACACACGCACACACACACACACACACGCACACACTATAATTGGTTCCCACGTCCCTGTGACCTCGAGTCCAACGTTTGCTAGTGATTTTGTTCCGTTAGATATTTGTACAAATAATTTTGCTATTGTTGTCTTTTGACTTATTTCGCAATATTCCCAAAAAGTTTTGTATCATTTATGTTTTAGTAAGAATTCAGAATTGGTGAAAATAGTATATGTTGAATTGAACAGAGAAAATGTCAATTAAATTCGAACACTGCGATAATGTTACCCTTACAAAGTTCAGGAAAAAAACAAAAACATTATATATGAAATGTTGAAGTGTGACTTAATTTGAACTAATCATCCTCAATACCCCAGGGGTTACGTTCACTTACGTTCTCTGCACCACTGGGACATGTCATGACAGCACCGAAGGCTCTTTGCGCGACACCTTAGTGATGTTAAAGTAGTTGGGTGTACATCCAAAACATCGCACGGCAACATAACGGTAAAATTGACCGGCTTTGAAGTCGGTTGTCGCGCCTCTTTAAAATTCAAATGACAGGTATCGGCAAAGCGATTGGTCAGGTTTTTATACCTAAAACCAATAGAATTGCTAATTGTGTGCCTTCGATTTTGTCATGACATATTCCCGGGAAGCAGAAAACGTATGTGGGCGTAACCACTGGAGTTTCGACTAATATACTAATATACAGTACATGTCATAGTGTAATAATGGAAAACAATATCTGGTTTAGTTTCTTTAAGATGCTGAAGACGGGCTACCTTCCTGCTATTGTTGTGAGTGACATCAACCTGTTGTTTCGACTACCCGATCGCGGTCTCATACATCCAATTAATATGGATGACCCTCAAATTGACTTGGTGATGAAGGCGCTCGAGAATATTATCTTGAACTACGCCATTGACGCCATGAACAAAACCGCGGCTTACGAGCAATCTCTGACCACACATGGACCGACACAGCCGCCACAGCCCCTGCTGGACACATTATGTGAGTATGGGACAGAAAATATGTAGGATAGAACATTTCACCCGAAATATTTATAAAATTGGTAAAACCCGAGCGTTTTGCTACAATTTACGAGGGAGTTTTTTTATCAACTAATCATTATAAATAAAAGAATATTTTTCGTTTATTTCGGCCATCAAAATGAACTGTCCGTGGGCAAAGCTAATCCCAAATGACGGATTATGAGAGAAACCTCGCTCTGACAAATAATTATTTAAAGTCAAATGTGAATGTATATCATGTGTTCTATCCAAACAACCACAATTATATTACAAAATGGCGTATATAATTATGACATGCGCGCAGGGCGTCACCTTTCCTGTTTGAGAATGTTTTTGTATTTTCATACATCTTGTGTATGTGAACGTGCATATTGCATAAAATGAATGAAGATGATAACCCATATTTAACTTTTGAACTCTGTAGCTCCAAGTGAACTAGCCGACACTTGGACATTGTTTACACGAATTTTTGGCCGAACACGAACACCAACAACAACAACAACACCAACAACAACAACACCAACACCAACACCAACAACACCAGGTAAGATACACGAGGACCAAGATTTCGATAAAAGGGACCATTTCCAGCTTTGTTAAAATTACATAGCTTTTGTTTCAGAAGTGCTACGAGATTTATGCTGCTGTTTTATCTGGAGTAATTATTTTGAATCGCTCTTCTAGTTATTTAGCTGATCAATTAACCTAATAACAGTACGGGAATCGAAAAATGGAATATCAGCCTGAAAGTATTTTTTCTGGGGAAAAAATCGTATTTTTTGAATGGTAATATTTGGGAAAGGACATTTTCTTTCATGTAGTGCTTTAATGACATATTTATCATCGCAAATGTGAGTTTAATCAACATTTTGGGAAAATTTTAATGTAAAACATAGGATTTTTCATTCTTATTATTCTTGTATATCAAAACTTTTCATAGTATGAAGAAGTGGTGTTATTCCAAATATGTATGCAAACATTCAGTCCAAAAACCATGGTGGAAAGTATTGATCTCGCACAACAAAGTACCCTGTGTACCCAAAATGGGGAGGGCCTAAGACACCTCCCTGGCGTCCACCAAAACGCAATGCACCTGATTACACGTAATTGGTAATGAAATTCGCTGCAAGCCTACAATAAACCTTTCAGTGCATGTTAGGTCACAAACAATTCCAAATTCCTATTTATTTCATCACTTGGCGTGATTGATAAAGGTTTTATTAACAATCAATTTAGAGATCAAATGTAATTTTCCTGTCACTTTTTAGAATTTGTTCTTATACAATTTGTTATCACTTTTAACACGATTTATCATCAGACTTTCGTTTTTACATTGATTTTAGGGGATATTTCATACTCATTTGCTAATATTCATCTCATAACGAAGAGTAAATGTATTGGTGAAGGTCGTCATCGTATCTTCGCCAAATCACGTCAATGTAAAGGTACACAAAATGTAAAAAAAAAAAGGCCATAATTTAAATGGCTTTTGGATATACTGACTAAAACTGGCATAGTTTGCTCAAATGAAGAAGATAGTATTGGTCTGAATCGCTACATAAAGTATCTGCACCAAAGAGAATCTGAAACAGAACGTTTTGCAGATGAAATTACTAGTAGGTTTTTTTCTCTTACCAATCAAGGACCTGTTTTACTGCTCCTGTTCACAGAAAAAATGTTGTTTTTGTTTTAACAATTTGAATTCGAAGGGAAGTTAATCCACACTTCTGAAAAAACGTGCCAAGCATCAGTTAATTTTCACACACAAATTGTGGTGTTCTGCGTCATCACGTGTATGCTCATTTCAAATAATTGGCAATGACATAAACCCATGTAAGGGTATAAGGAATAGAGTCTTTTAATTCTCAATTATGAAGTAGGTCATCTGGAATAATTGATGAAGTGTCGTACATCTTATCAAAGAATCAATTAGCCTTCACTCACATTTCTTTCGTCTTCAGTATATATCAAAACTACACAAAATGCTCTTTCACTGTTTTGGGTTAAGATGAAAACTGATATCTCTTGTAATCAAGTGTTACACCATTTTGGCATTTTCCTCTGTCTAGTATTTCAAAAACCTTTCATTCTGTAGTACAATTTAATAAATCTATAGTTCCAGTGTTCATGGGTCCTGACCATTTGAATAGGGAACATATACTTTCATACATACAACGTGACAGCCTTAATAGATGGTACATACATTTATGTTCAAAAAAATGCTGTCAATAAGCTTGAGAGTGTCCTACGTTGGCTAGAAGGAGCGTAATTATCTTAAATTCATGATCATAGCTCTACCTGATGGCTACATTTTGGACAAGTAGGACCATTCTCTGGAAGCCAAAATGATGCAAGCATTACAAAAACATCAAAGACTAGCTCACATGGTTGGGGCAAGACGACAATGTAGTCGTTGATCGTGGTTTTAGAGATGCCCTGTCAATGTTAGAGACATCTTGCGTTATTACGAGTATGTACTCATATCTGAAGACTAGTCAGAGACAACAATCTGATCATAATCTACAGGCTAACATTGACAGAACAGTTACTAAATCCCCATGGATTGTTGTCTTTTCATGACCATCTTAAGCATTGGATATTGCTTAGAACTCCATTGGTATCAAATTACTTCATTGATATAATTGAGGAGGTGCTAACAATTGTGCTGCATGTCTCAATTGGATACGGGGACCAATTTATCAAAGATCAGATCACCGGACACTGACAGAAAAGACAGAACTCGCACATTAAATGTAGTTTCTACTTACAAAAACGAACTGTTTGGCTCAGAGGGTGGAAACAACCAGCTCTCGAGATCCAAGAGTGCAAAGTCAGAATTCGTAAAGATAACGAAATGTGGATGAATTAGCACCCTCAAGACCTCATCTGTTGTCAGATTTGTTCCAAACACAAAAGCCAGACTAAATATAATGTTGGGATTCGGTACAACACGACACCAAATGATAATAATCCAATAAAATATTACTACTGCCAATGTCCAGTTGGTCAAAGAACTATGGGAATTTGTGCTTATATAAGTATATTTTATGATCTTGACTATCATAGAAATCTTCAAAATTCAAATCAGTTGCACCCAAGGGCTAACAAGTTCCGACAAAGCTTGAAATAAGTTTGAAAACAAACTCAAAGCCTCGCATCATTTTTGTTTTCTTCTTTTTTTTCTCCTCCAAAAAGCCTGCCATTCGAACACATATCATGCTCTTGCATCTTGCAAAACATTATCTGTTAATGTCATCAGCTGTTAATACGGCGTCTAACTGTAATAAATAAATAAAAACAAAGTAACAAACAAACATACAATCTCTGAATTCCATTGATATTGCAAGAAAATTGTCTGGGAATCTGACAACTGATTAGGCAGTAGAATTAATGTTTTCGTGGCCATCTTGAAAAGGAATAAACCAGCGAATCTTTCCAAACATGTTCTCTGTTGATTAAATACTCATTCCATCTAAACTGGAACAAATATTTTCTTCTTTTCTGTCAGTTTTCAGTCATAATGATTAGACTATACACATAGCTATGAATTCTGATGAATAGACCAAATGGACATTTGATCTCTTCTTTGAATATGTTCCACCACATATATTTTATTGATATGTTCATCACTGGTAGTTCAGGACCTAGTCAATCTATAATCAAACTATTTTTGGTATACACAAGTTATAAGATACTTTCATTCTAAGATGAACACATTTTTTGTCTGGAAAATATTATTGTTTGAGATGGCTTCCGGCTGTTGATTTGGCTGTAAATATCTGATAACTCACCAAAGCAAAATATTTGTACATGTATACTGTAGCATATGGTCCCTAGTTTTGGTTGCATCAAAAATGATCCTTCAATGCATTATAAGTTTGACAACATTATTCGTCTTTTGGGGAAAAAACTCTGCCTTTATGAGAATTTCAGTTTTATGCTCCTACGAAAAACGAACCAAGTGCCCATTTGAATTTTGGTTGGTGTTTTTGTTGTAATAAGGTTTAGGTCTACATCTCACCAAAAGAAAATTGAAATCAATACTGTAATGCAGAACCACATTGTCGTTGAATACTGTAATGCAGAACCACATTGTCGTTGAATACTGTAATTCAGAACCACATTGTCGTTGAGTACTGTAATTCTGAACTACATTGTAGACAAGTAACCAATAAGCTCGTTATTTGCTTAATCTTCAACCCAGTTCAGAACTTTAGGCCCGACTCGGAGCAGAATGTGATGGAATTTATCAGTTGCCTCACCGGTTCACCATAATATTGAAACTTGTTCATTTGCTTAATGTTTACATTAAAAAACGATGCAAAATGTAAAAGAAGAAATAAGTCCCCAAGAAACTAATTATGACGTCGAACTTTATGATAAAGTCATTTGATGATTACGTGAATATAATACTTTTAAATATTCATTTTGCACATTGCGCTTCAGTTCCGGCCAATGTCAATTTGACCGATGTGCTTACCCAAGGGAATCAAGATCTCTCCAACCTTAGAAAGTGAGTAGCCTTACTTCTATGTGGACTCGTGGTTGAAAGGTTAACTACTGATAGATTGCTGATAGCTGAGAGTTTCTGTGTCGAGCTGAGTACACTCTGTCAGTGTTGTGTTGAGTCACGTGTTTCAGTGTTGTGTTGAGTCACGTGTTTCAGTGTTGTGTTGAGTCAGTGTTTTAGTGTGGTATTGAGTCACGTGTTTCAGTGTGGTGTTAAGTCACTTGTTTAATGTGGTATTGGGTCACGTGTTTTAGTGTGGTGTTGAGTCACATGTTTCAGTGTATCGTTACGTCACATATTTCAGTGTTGTGTTGAGTCACATGTTTCAGTGTTTTGATGAGTCAGTGTTTCAGTGTGGTGTTGAGTCACGTGTTTTAGTGTAGTTTCTAGTCACTTGTTTAATGTGGTATTGCGTCACGTGTTTCAGTGCGGTGTTGAGTCTCGTGTTTCAGTATTGTGTTGAGTGACGTGTTTCAGTGTGATGTTGAATGGCATGTTTAAGTGTTGTGTTGAGTAACGTGTTTTAGTGTTGTGATGAATCACGTGTTTCAGTGTGGTATAAAGTCACGTGTTCCAGTGTTGTGTTTAGTCTTGTGTTTCAGTGAGGTGTTTAGTTCCGTGTTTCAATGTGTTGTTTAGTCACTTGTTTCAGTGTGGTGTTGTTGAGTCACGTGTTTCATTGTTGTGTTGAGTCACATATTTCAGTGTGGTGTTGAATCAAGTGTTTCAGTGTGATGTTGAGTCACGTGTTTCAGTGTTGTGATGAGTCACGTGTTTAAGTGTAGTGTAAAGTCACGTGTTTCAGTGTAGTGTCAAGTCACATGTTTCAGTGTGATGTTCGATCATGCGTTTCAGTGTGGTGTTCAGTCACGTTTTTCAGTGTGGTGTTGAATCGCATGTTTCAGTGTTGTTGTTTTTCACGTGTTTCAGCGAAGTGTTGAGTCACGTGTTTCTGTGTAGTGTTAAATCGCATGTTTCAGTGTGGTATTGAGTTTCGTGATATGGTTTTTGAGTCGCGTGTTTCATTTTGTATTGAATCAAGTGTTTCAATGTGGTGTTTAGTTCAGTGTTTAAGTGTGGTTTTGAGTCTTGTGTTTCAGCGTGGGAAATAAATCAAGTGTTTCAGTGTGGTATTGGGTCACGTGTTTCATTGTTGTGCTTTGTCACGTGATTCAGACTAGTGATGAGTCACGTGTATTAGTGTGGTATAGAATCACGTGTTTCAGATTAGTGTTGAGTCGCGTGTTTCAGTGTGTTATTGAGTCACGTGTTTCAGTGTGGTGTTGAATTACATGTTTTAGTGTGGTTTTGAATTACGTAATTACGTGTTTCATTGTAGTACTGAGTCATGTTTTAGTGTTTGGAGTCGCACTTTTCAGTGTTGTGTTGAGCCACGTATTCTAACGTGGTGTTGAGTCACGTAGTTAAATTACATTTTTAGTGTGTTCTGATTGATACTTTTCAATGTTTCAGTATAATGGCTGACCTAACGAAGAACAACTCAACTGATCCTAACATCATCATACAGCTGAATGACACCTTATCCAATACAGAAATCTTCCTCCAACGTCTGGCAAACCAGCTGCAGAATATGCCATAGTGGAAAGACGATGTCACTCTCTCATTTACTTGTTAACTGTTTTGAATGTTACGATAATAAACAATCAAACCGGATGAGGTTTTTTGCGATGCTTTCCCGATAGTAAATGACGCGAATTGATACAAAACTCAATTGTAGCCACAATTTTACAGTGAGCACATTTCGTAAAACTCAAAAATTCTGACCCTCGGGTTGGAAGTATGGACATTTCAGTTCAAATGGAGGAAATGGCATTGTCTAGTGCCACTCAATGCTCCTTGTTCCGTCAGCCACCTGTAGAATCGGGGCTGCTTTCTTTTTTGACTTCTGTTTAGAGGACATTGAAGCCACTACATGTGTATTGGAAAAGGCGAGTAATGTTCGGGTCCCTGCAGAATCGGAGGTTTTTCTTCTGTTTCTTCTAATCGGAGGACATTGAAGAGAAAAAAATTGATCTTCTGCCCCTATTCCGTCTTTGCGTATAGCAGAGTTATCTTCTCTTGTGAGCAGGTGTTGATTGTTACGTCATTGGTTTGTGTGAGAAAATTACGTCGTTTTCTCAAAAATTGATGACGTTACTCTCACAAACAAATGACGCGACAATCAATACCTGCTCACAAGAGAACATTACTCTACAATACGCAAAGACGGAATTGCAAGACTTGGGATCTTTTAGTTTCCTATCTTTCCTGTCTTGGTTTCCCGGTTGGGTCTCCCTAGGTACTTGTCTTCATACGACCCTGACTGTGTCTCCCTAGGTACTCGTCTTCATAACACATCGGCTGTTGTGTCTCCTTAGGTACTCGTCTTCATATGACACTGGCTGTTGTATCTCCCTAGGTACTCGTCTTCTTATGACACTGGCCATTGTGTCTCCTTAGGTACTCGTCTTCATATGACACCGGCTGTTGTCTCTCCCTAGGTACTCGTCTTCATATGACACCGGCTGTTGTCTCTCCCTATGTACTCGTCTTCATATTGACACCGGCTGTTGTCTCTCCCTAGGTACTCGTCTTCATATGACACCGGCTGTTGCAAGGACATTAAACCAAAAATAAATAAAATCGTTCCGTCAAATAGGACTGGATCTATGAAAATGCTGTCATCCCCAGATAGACCATGTGCTTGAATATTATGTCAAAATTGGTGACATCAAATAAATCCAGTAACATTATGACTGCTTATAACAACTACTTACTATGCGATTTTAACTGTATCACAACTTATTTATATTATAGGATGGGCTCAACACAACTCCTTGCGAAAGACCAAGGTCTATAGGTAAATGACGAAAATGCCTTCAAGTTTTATGCGAAGCTCTTGTGCTCCTCTTTTTCTTACAAAATCTATATTTACAAAAGTTTTTTCGGTCAAACATGATATATTCGCTTACCAGCTATCTTTTCAGAAAATTATCAAAATGAATTAATAATCCTTCTTGTTGAAAGCTCAGAAATACAAATGTATCACTTTTTCATAACGATTCAAGCATTGCTTTAACAAATGTATTGGAAACAAACAGTTTATGAGAATTGAAGAGAAAGTATAGGAGTCAAGTGGAACTGTAATTTGAGCAGCAATGCCTCAGATCTCCCGTTTCTAAACCAACTAACTAATACAGCAGATATTCCAATAAATCTGATAGACGCATGACTCACCACTAAGTAGATTTCTTTCTTGTGTTATTTACGAGTCAAGATTAAAATCCTTCCCTCTGCTAAAATTTTCATTTCCAAAGTATAACTTCCTTACAGGTGAGAATATTTCAATGAATTATCATATACATATGAATCGTAACTAGACATATTTTAAACCACACAGCGTTGTGATAAGAACCATTTTCAGATCACCACTCCAAGGTCATAAGGTACCAAACTGAGGTAAAATTCAAACTAGATTTTGCTCGTTCGGAGTAATTGCTAACTGTTGAAAACATTCCAATTGAACCAGAAACATATAAACCACCGATAGGCGGTGTGTCTTTGGATAATTCCGGGTCCGGGAGAAGAAAAAAAGTTAGAGGTCAGGGTCACAAGTTAAGGTTAAAGTACAGATCAAGTTTTCGCTAGTCAAGGGCATATTGTCTTCGCTACTCAAGGTAAGATATATCCATTTTTGCCACGTGTTCACATCGTGTCAGTGACATGATTTTCTAATAATTTATATTTGGTTTTTTACTTGTTTAATTACTTATTTACTGCTTTTATTTATTCTTTTTTTTTTTTACCTTGCAATGACAAATCGAACTGTTATAAACAAACTCGACATAAGACAAAGATCGTGTTTGGAGACCTCATTTAAGTATACGGTTCGGGCAGATCATTGGAAACGTATGAGCAACCGTACAAAAAGGTACCAAACTTTTTTTGCATTCATGTATTGACGTACATTTATACGAAAAACTCACGGAGAGATGTCATCAGCAATGCGCGTCGAAAGCCACAATTCTGGCACATGCAATTTTGAAATCTAAATTTCGAACAAATTACGTATGGAGTCGAGGGACATACCTGGATGTCGCCATCTAATCTACTTACGCGACATTGACGAGGGAAAACTGATCGCTGCTTCGTTTAAAACACTTTGGATCTTTTTCTCTTATTCTTGTGAACATATCACAGAACTGTCCAGGGTAAGAAAATGGTATAAGACATTTCTATATTGCACCCCATTTCACATGCGTGACGTAATGTGACAACAATCACGAAATCAGAACATTCTAATGTCTAGATGCGGAAATTGCAACTTATCGATTTCAGAGCTATTTCTATTGTTTCAAACAAGAGAAAAATATTGTATCAAGCCCAGGAGTGTGGGGATAGGGAAATTCCACCCTCGGGGTTATTAACTTGATGCAAATCCCACGGCAGAGCCTCGTGTATTGCCCAGTTTGAAAAACTATTTGGTGGAATTTCCCTATCCTACACCCCTGTGCATGAAAGAGTTTTATAATCGTTCTCTCGTGTGCTCTGTTTTCAGATGGTTCGATATTGTGAGGACAGACACCGAACAGACCAGTACGCTGTTCCGTGTAGTAGTCTTTACGTATTGTTTTGTTATTAGACATCATTTGATCTTGTATTTTGTTTCTCCTTATCATCGGATGATTTTATACGACACGCCATGTGTTAAATGTCCAATCCTACGTCTTGGTGTAGCTAACATACTGTAGCACATGGCTCGGATTGGTCTCTAATCCACTAAATCGGGGCTTAATGATTTGGCCTAGAAACACACGATTACCTGTATTGCACATGTATTCTAAGTAGATTTGCTTTGTGAAAATTGAAAACATTCGAGATCAGATCAACAATACTAAATCTCATTTTACTAATAGATTCAAGGGTTGATAAAGGCGTCTTTCAGCTTTTCTTTAAATTCAATGTTTGCCAATTGATTTTTTTTCTTTCATTATAACCTGTTTCTTTTGATTTAAAAAATGTGGTTACCTTGTATGATGTTAGTAATACCACCGATTAATTATTATATATGAAGACTTGGTTGCGAAAAACATTAGAACGAATAAAATTACCTTTTGCGGTATTCCGTCTTTTCGTATTACAGAGTTATTTGCTCTTGTGAGCAGGTACTGATTGTTTCGTCATTTGTTTGTGAGAGTAACGTCATTAATTTTTGATAAAAACGACGTAATTTTCTCACACAAACCAATGACGTAACAATCAATACCTGCTCACATGAGAAGATAAATCTGCAATACGCAAAGACGGAATAGGGGCAGAAGATCAATACGTTAATACTTATGATGATGACGACCGGTAGCTGCTATTTCGCGGTTTAATAGCAACGAAGAATAGAAAGAAGCATAAATTCCAAGGAAATATCTTTATACGCTGTTCAAGAGTTATATTCCCTGTCAACATGTCCCGCTAAACAGCGTACATGTGACGACCGCTATTAATATACAGCACGTCAATTCGAACCCGAAATTTGTTAAAGATTCGTTTTCCTATTTCTTTGATTCGTATACTCCAATCAACAAGTATCTCTGAATTTTCAATAAAAAATACTTTCAGACACAATTCATTTTTTGATTGAAACATACAATGTAGTTATTGCCCCAATTTTGAGCAAAGTATTAGGCACAAGTTATATCAACTTATCAACGCCTTTTCCTCTAATACAGTGCATATCGATATTTACATGATAGCATCTAAAAACCCATACATTCGCTATTTTACAATTATTGTATTTTACTTAAAACCAGGTGCTGGATTTGATGAAAAGTTGCACGTGTCTGAATACTTCTGTATTGGTATCTACGGACAGATTTCCATTGCTAAATAAAAATAAAAATAAATTAACTGGATATATATTCAACGAGCTTATGTTTTAAAATAGCGTAATTCGTGCTGTATTTAAAGCTTACATTCTAAGAAAAAATAGCCAACATCCTCACAAGAATGTCCACAAGCGCATGATGGATTATCAACAATCTTAACACGGAACAAATCATTTTTTCAAAGAGCTGCACTGATGCCTGAGTTTCGTATGTAATATATTTAAATTGCATTCGCCAAAATTATAATAAGATGATGGAGACGAATTTGCACCACTAGATATAGAAAATTTAAAAGTATTTACAGACGGTAATGTTTTTATTTAATTGTCTAACGAACTCCAATTACGTAAACTCGATGACAGACAAAGAGGAGTTGCCTGACGAGAGTCCGAAAGAAGGAATATTATAATCATATCGGTTCCGTAAATTGTACCGATTGTTGTTACCAACTGTGTTTGGCAAAAGTGTCGATAAATAGCTGGGGGTTGAATTATTTTTCTTTTTGTATATAAAATATTCAACTTTCTCCTTTTTCTCCACTCTGATAGTTTTTCAAAACTCGTTTTAAAATATAATGAATCATTACTTTTATACGAAGGCAATACTGTTATAACTCGAGCCGCATCTCTATGTGCTTTCTCTAATTTCTCAGATTCAAAAGCAGTGCAACCATCCCATAATTCACAGGCATATTCAAAAACTGGCTAGATGAAAGATTTATACATTTTTTAAAGTGAATCTCTTTTCAACAAGTATTTGAGTTTTTGTAAAACATTAATCTTTTTCATAGCCGACTAAATGTCTATGTACGTCTGTAAAATTTAAATGTTTCCCATCAAACATCAAATCCCAGTAATTGTCAATTTCATTTGCATTTGAAATAAAAAGAACGTCCTTTTTTTGAGGATTAAAAGAAATCAACCAACGTTTAGCCTTAATCCCATAACTTTTTTCTAGAATGGTATATCTTTACTTTTTCTGGATAATAATGTGCGAGAAAGTTATTTATATTCAGTTTATTTGATTTGGTTACTCATTACAAATATCACCTAGTTTTGTTCTGCCATACAGGTTTCGAAAACGTCCCAAAACCTAAGAATATTCCTAAACTTTTTTTTGTATTGAAAGCAACGCTGGATATATGGGATAATATTAAGCTAAAATACACTGAACTTCAGCAATGTTGTTGTACGAAGAAGACTTGAATTTGGGAATGTTCTTAAATAAAAGGATTTTCAAGAAACAGGAACCTGACTTTTTAAATTGTTTGTTTTGGTTTAATTGCCGTCCGTCTGTAACCTCCATGTTAATAGTGTGTACACCTACACACAGACTGTCATTCGGCAAACCTCGGCCGATTCCGGTACCTTTCATCTAACTGAATTTGATGTGAGTACGGAATATGCCGAGATGTGACGAGTGACAGACTGTGTGTATGGGTTGACCCCAGTGACCAAAAGATTAAGGTCAAATACACAAGAGTGTTTGACCAGACTTTTTTTGTCTAATTATTTTTTTCATTGCGTTATGGATAAAATATACTGAATATCAAAACGGATTATTTTTTAATCCGAAATAAGAATTTATACAGAACTTTAGCCTTAGCGGGCCTTTAATACTACTGGTAATCCGGCTATGTTAAAAATATACCTGTATCTATACACAATAATATTCAAACCGCGTGTGTGTGCTGAACAACGGTTGTGTTTCACATTGTTCGAGAAGAAATAGCGAGACAAAGTACGAAAGACACAGTAGTTATAAGAAAGAAGATATTTGATAAAATATAGGTCGATTTGAAAAATAGTATCACTTTTTAAATCGGAATAAATTTTTTTGATGATGTAGATAGTGATTCTTCACAGATGGGATATATGTGCGATATCTGAGGTTTCAAACGCCGATTCAAGGGTTGGAGATACGGGATAAACTGTCCTAGGAATGAGGAATACGCTATTCAAGGATTGAGGAATAAACTGTTTTAGGATTGAGGAATAAAGTAATCGATTATTGAGGAAAAAACCGTTCGAGGATTGTGGAATAGACCATTCGATGACTGAGGAATACTCAATTCGCATACTTTAGCCGCTAGATGGTGACACTATAGCCTAATCATGTCGAATGCAGGTTCAACGTCCATCAGCTGGAGAACTGAGTCTGCTGCTAGTTCATATGACGTCACAAAACCAATGACGTCAAATTCATCGGTCCCACGGAAGAAAAAAATGGTGAGGCATATAAAAAGATTAAATAATGCAAAGCGAATCGGTTCCTATTATTTAAGAACATGAAATTCTTTTCAATCTTACAAAGAAATTCTAATTCTTGATTTCTCCCCCTCTGAATATCACGAAACGACGAAGCAGTCCTTCATTTTTCACCGTTGCTTATGTTTTCTCTCATTTTTTTGTGAATGAAGACGCACAATACACAAAGAACCGCTAAACAATGTGTACGTCACTAACAACATAACAGAATATATCTAAGCTTCAAAAGACTATATAATATTTCGAACTCAAAGAAACATACTTCTAAGTTGCAAAATGCAGTTCAACAATACTGACTGTACATTTCTAAGCGTTCCGAGATTGAAGAATATTTCAAACTGAATTAAGCTTCAAGTAAGGGCATAACACTTCAAACCTACAAACGATGGTTTATTATTTGTAACCAACCTATTTCAATAAACGCTCCTAAACTTCTAACTGAAATACGTAAGTTTCTATTAAATTCCAAGTGACCTTATTTGGATAACAAAAGTATCGGTTCATGTTCTTGTCAATGACGGAGGTTTGAAAGCTACAAAATCCATATGCATTTATAGTTTTTCTTTTTTGAATAGGCTAATCGCCGAAAACAATTTAAACTTACAAGTGTAGTTATGAGTTCGATCGATCAGCTTCCTGTGATTCAAAACCCATAAAGAGGCCGTTTATTTCCTACCACTCTTGTCACCCTGGTAGAATCACCCTGGAAGAACATACTAGCTGCTTCCTACCGACTCGGCTAAGGAGAATTGTCTCTTTAACTCATTCAACTGTGTTGCATCTTTGAGCAAGATACTTTATTCTGCTTGTTCCAGTCTACTCAGCTGTAAATGAATACGTGGTTGGGCAGTGCTAGAATTGTAGAATGCTAGCTTTGAGCGCCGAAATGGCAGCACTGGCTGTATGCTCTCCAGGGAGTTGAGAAAGATGTTGGCTGGTTGCTAAGGCCCTATAACCACGGATAATAATTTGTGAACCGCTTTGAGACGACCTACGAACTAGGTTGTGATAAAGCGGTAGATAAGAACCTCGAATTATATTCAGTTAAGCGTAAGACAAGAAGGCCAGTGGACCCGGGTTCGACTCCTGGCGGAGGCATTACAAAAATAATGACCTCTGTTACATTGGCGCCCAAATAGGGACCCGGGACTTACAAAGGAATCGATACGACCCCCTGCAAAAACTAGAGACGAGTTCTCTCATTAAGGGGGTGTATGTCATCCTGGTACAAAATACATGTACTAGCAACTTCCTACCGACTCGGCTAAGGGACCGTTTTACCTTATTCAGTAGAGCATAAAACTAGTAATCCAGAGTTAATGGGTTCGACTCCTGGCGGCGGCATTAAAAAAAATAATGACCTCTGTTACATTCATCTCTTGTTGTCCCTCTCATATAGAATCAAAATTCTTTTTTTCTTACGGAGTACCGTATTCTAATATAGAGTCAAATTCCATCCTCCTAATACGGCGTCAAATTAATCCATTTTCTCTATAAAGACGTAACCAAATTCTCTATGAAGTCAAATATCAACTTCATGAGGACTCATTTGAGTAAAATATCATACAGAGTGTCAAATGTGTTCTTTGGAGTCAAATATCCTCATGTGAATTCAGGCAGTCGAGTAACATATTTTCATATTGAGTCAAAAACACTTATACCAAATCAGGTATCATACGTCCTTTTACATGTAGAAAGATGTACTTAATCTCACCTCTATTTCGTGGACTCAAAAAAGATATTTCGACAAATTTGCAGAGATTTAAAACCGAGAAGGGAATACTATCGGGTATTTTAAACAGTGGTAGGATATTTATATTTTCGATGAATTCATTTCTAGTGAATAACCGCGAAAAAAAATCTTGTGCTAAATAAAATATGCAGAGTGCAATATGTTAGGTAAACTTCTATATTCCATCTTGACGGATTTTTTGCTTTACCGGACATGCTGTTTTAATGCTTGGATACAGAGCGAACCGATATAGACAGGTTGTACTGGTGTCTCGAAGTGTACAGTGGATAAACTTATACAAAACTACATTTTTACCTCTTATTATTGAAACAATCCACATACATAATATGCCAGGTTAAAGCTGCTCGACTGGCATGTTTGCTTAACTGTCTGCGGCCTCATTCTGAATAAAAAAAATATTGTGGAAAGCTGAGAAATCAATTTATTCTGGAAGAATTAATCACTCTTGATACAAAGCTATTCTGGAAAGCTCATTATACCGTACCACGATTTTTGTTTTTTGACAAGTAGCGTGACTAAATCTATGAATTTTATTCCGATAACCTTTCTCATATTAACCATGTCTTAGGCTAAAGGTATTTTTTCATAGCCTACATAGAGAGCCCACACCCACATTTGACCTAACTATTAATCTACTGTAATCGTATCAATATCTACCCACCAACAGCAATTCACCTAAAAATCTACAAACTGGGTCATATACACGCATGCGACCCTTTTACATACAGTTTATAATACAATGTACAAACACATCTTTAAGATAACTCCTTAACACTAGTGTACTATTGACCTCTATGCTGAACTATTTCCTCTAAGCTCTGTATAACTTAATTAACCATGCATGATGTACCTGTAACTTATATTACAATGTAGCAGTACCTTTATAACTAAAAATGTATTAAAGACCTTATAACTAGAAAGACAATACAATAATAGACGTGTAACGTAAATAACAAAGGAATGAAAGAATGGTCTTGTTACTTCCCTTTGTTACCTCTCTTAATAAACATTAGATTCGTTTATTTCAAAATCTTGCTTTCTTTCTTTATACCGTTCAATGGGCCACAACAAAATTGGCAAAGTTCAAATTGCTATTCATACAATGTATAAGACATTTTTCTATTTGGTATAATTTTGTTAATGTAAAACTCTTCTGCGAAGAAGATACATATGTCAGACCGAGGCAGCATATATATCCTTAAGGAACTCGGTCAATTCGTCGCTGAAACGTCCAAACAGATGCTCCGTAGCGTGATTCATTCGCGTTAATATCAATTGTGATCGGATAAAAGTATTAACACAAACCAACAGTAAGTAAAATTGAATAGTATAACAATTAATACTATAACGCTACGCTGTATGGTATTGATTCGGATATATATACATTACACATAGAAAGTGTGACATAGAATATCACAAGACTAAACATTCAAAAAATTAATCACAGAGGTAATCCAAATATAATTAAAACCCGTTCTAACATTACACTTCCATAACAAAGTGCAATGAGAGGTCTTATTTTAATTAAATTAGGGTAATAGTGCTTTGTTAAGATCTCAGTCAAGTAAACGTATGTAACTATATAGGAGTAGTTTAGCTATATCATTTTTATCATGTGGAACTTTCTAGACTGTAAAACAATTTCTGAACGTATTTCATAATAACGTTATTCCTATTTTACTAAGCATTTCAAGTCTTTTTAAGTGCTATGGTAAATTGTAGCGTAAGCGGAATATTCCTGTTGATGTCGGTCTTTTCTAATCGTGATTATTTACTATTTACACATTTTCAACTAGGAGAGGAGGAAGAAATTTCACAAAAGGGGAGTGAGTTTGATTATTTATCATGAAGAATTCAAATCTCTTCCAACAATGAACAAAGAGATGTTATGCAGCACAAAGTATTTAACAGACAGCTTTATCTGAAAAAGAAATGATGATTCCGAAACAAATCAGATTTTGATGGAATAAATACGATTCTTATTTTTATGAAATTTTAAAAATGTGTATAATTTTTAGTTTGTTGAATTGCAGGTGATATGAAAAATATGGTTATTTGCATTGCAAAAATAAACACCCAACTTTTCACATCACGATTAAACCTAATTCCGGCGTACCTATTCCTTGTCAAAAAAATATGGCTACCATTTCCATGCTATTATCATATTATTTTATTTATTACCTATATTTAAAAATTCGGCCATTTCTAATAAACCAGTATTTGAATATAACACTTCATTCCTAAGGATAAGGGGTTTTATTGTTTTGTTTTTGTTTTTGATATTTGTTGTTGTTGTTGTTGTTTTGGGGGTTTTACGCGCTGTATGTTTTTTTCTAACTTTGTCAACGTTGATGATATTTGTTTTTGAAGGTATTCATCAGAGCTGGCATACTTTTTCCTCTTGAAATAAATAAATACACATACTTTACATCTCGTCTATCTAGGTATGTATACCCCCCAAGCAAACAAAATCATTAACAAATAACAAACATCATTGTTGATTTGGTGTCTGTTTGATCATACAAACTTCGTATTAAATATTAGAATATATTTATATAAAAAGTACAATACAATGTATAACAATTTATAACATTCTGATCTCAATGATGTTTTGTTTTTTTCTGCAGAATGTAGCATCAGCGAAAAACTCTGGTATGAAGTTTCCATCTTGGACGGGTGGAAAACCCATCCGGGCATCTCGTTCCTCATCACCACGTGATCATCTCCAAAGTAACCAGGGGAACTTTCCGATTATTCGCCGTAGTCTCGATGTGAAAGGCGAGCATAACGTGAATAATATTGTAAGTAGGTTGTCTACCCCTACGTTATCTGCTAAAATGAAAAACGTGAAATACAAACCAAACGTTGCGATGATGAACATGAACTACTACTCGTGGGCCAACATGGCCGCCTACAAAGATCATCAACGCACTCTCTATACCGGAAATGGAACTATGAAACGGTCTAATTGCAAATCAGCAAAACGTTAAACCCCCGGATTTTTTTTTTTTTTTTTTTCTTTTTTTTATCTTGGAATGGTTCCTGTTCATTCCCACGGTTGTTCGGTTAACGAAGCAAATATCAAAACGGTTAACAAATCAAGTTTGTGACATTGTATTCTAAGTGAAATTAGAGAGAAAAGTAGCGAAAGTTAGAAAGTTGTTTTTAATCAACATGTGCTTGTGTATTATCATTACAAACACTTTTAATCAATAAAATAGAGCCATCATCAATATTTGCCTCCAGTAATGTTTATTCAAATAACTTACTAAGGGTGTTTGTAAGACACCAAGTCTGAGATTCTTGGATGACGTCATTGATCTTGGGGATAAAATAGATTTACTTGCACGTTGTACTTTATATTTATTATGCAACATGTGATATGGCGCCTTATCTAGAATAATCTACTCCAAAGCGCTTTACAGTATAAATATAAATGTGCAAACAACAAAAGTTATCAATCAACACCATTTTTATTATGATTTTGTAGAAGCTGCCTTATCAGGCGCGAACTACTAGTCCTATGCCACCTGGTTACTATCTCCAAGTGTTAGCATGCCTGTACAGGGGCTGTGATAAAATGTGTTATGTTTTGCAGTAATACAGGATATTACCGCGGCTTATATCGAATAAGTGTATAGATTATACCCAGGCTGACAAAGGATTATGAAGCCAACAGTTGAAGGATGTTTTCATCATGTCCTGCACAATATAGATTTGGATTTCCGACCATAATTGATGTATTATGGTATACTTAACAAACATTAAAATATATGTCTAATATCTAATAATATATTTAAGACAAAATGGTACCTTTGTGCCTAAAAATAAATGTCAAACGCAGAAAAAAAATGCATTTACCGTCGAAAAAACAATTTTTGTTCAATAATTTCTAGCAAGATAAAAATGACTATAGTGTTGTATGCATGCTCATTGTTTATTCAACAACATTTATGTTGACTCTGTGTGATCCAAAGGGTATTAACCATGAACCAATAAGCTAAATGTATACAGTGGCTATTAAATTAAGTTGTTCAGACAGATTCACCATGCTTTTGTCCCAATTTGTTTTTTCATTTATCACCAGAACTTGTAATTATGTGAACCACACATTGCAATTGTTTTGTTTATATCTTAATATTTACTTGCTGTTAACAATATTGGTCATATAACTACCAAAATTCAAATTGCAACCATAATTCTATGACATTTATCTACAGTATGACAATAATGGTCATATTACAACCACAATTCTATGAAATTTACTCACAGTATGACAATAACGGTCATATTACAACCACAATTCTATGAAATTTACTCACAGTATGACAATAATGGTCATATTACAACCACAATTCTAGGACATTTACTCATAGTATGACAATATTGGTCATATTACAACCACAATTCTATGACATATACCTGCAGTATGACAATATTGGTCATATTACAACCACAATTCTAGGATATTTACCCACAGTATGTCAATAGTGGTCACATCACAACAAAAGTTCTATGACATTTACCCACAGTATGAGAATAATGGTCATATTACAACCACAATTCTATAAATTTATCTACAGTATGACAATATTGGTCATATTACAACCACAATTCTATGAAATTTACCTACAGTATGACAATATTGGTCATATTACAACCACAATTCTATGAAATTTACCTACAGTATGACAATATTGGTCATTTGACAACCACAATTCTATGAAATTTACCTACAGTATGACAATATTGGTCATATGACAACCACAATTCTAGGACATATACCTGCAGTATGACAATATTGGTCATATTACAACCACAATTCTAGGATATTTACCCACAGTATGTCAAAAGTGGTTACATCACAACAAAAGTTCTATGACATTTACCCACAGTATGACAATAATGGTCATATTACAACCACAATTCTATAAATTTATCTACAGTATGACAATATTGGTCATATGACAACCACAATTCTAGGACATATATCTACAGTATGACAATAATGGTCATATTACAACCAAAATTCTAGGACATTTACCTACAGTATGACAATATTGGTCATATGACAACCACAATTCTAGGACATATACCTGCAGTATGATAATATTGGTCATATTACAACCAAACTTCTACGATATTTATCTACAGTATGACAATAATGATCATATCACTACCAAACTTCTACGATATTTACCTACAGTAACTCAATAGATGTCACCCCTACAACATTCTATGATAATTACCAACTTATTGACCATCAATTTAACATCACTATGAAATTTTATGATATTTACCTACAATTAGAGAATAATGATCACCTCACTTCCAAATTCTAAGAAAACGTGACAACCTTTTTTTCCTCAGTAATAACATGCCATCCGCCCCTGCTTATAGAGCTTATATATCACTGTTTTACAAAACAATAGGGCCTACTCTAGATATACTTCCAATTTTCCATCACAACACAAGCGGTGTTAATCTCGATCTTAGAAACAGATCTGGCTCATCGAGTAATTTTCCACCTTAACCACTAAAGCTGTTTCCTTATAACATTCACGGAGCACTTTAACAAATCTCAGCGGTATTGGTCCTACCTATCATGTAATCCACATAGTTACACACTAGAGACAATTCGTGAGGCACATTATAAAATATTTTACACAGACATGTGTTTGCAACGTGACCGCATTTTTTTTCATTACTAATCCTCTCGGAGAATGAAATAATGTGCTTGAAAGCGAAAATGCCTGATTTGTGCAACTCCATGGTGTAACCAGTAACACAACATGACATGTAGTATGATAGGTATGTCGGTTGAAACTCATTCTACAATGTTTGAGCAACTTCCTACTAGTGATGTATTTCCTTTTACAAAAATAAAGCTAGGCAAAGCTGGAGGAAAACGTTAAACTCCACACCTGGAGGTGTAATATATCACGATACGGATCTGTAACGTGTGTTACTTACAGTCAATTAGAGTTCATGTAATTTTACACACAAAACCGGCGAATCGAAACTAGTGTATATATTTAGTTTATGGAATTGTCAATAATAACCAAGAAAGATAATTAATTTTCGTTGAAATTAGCTAGAATGATTATTGCTTCCTTGTGAAGTTATTTAAATTATCACGTCAACGTTTTGCAACAAAATACACAAAAGGATTTTTTGAGACATTTCTTCGGAGAGTTAAATGAATTATGATATATTTCGAGATAATATACATATGTATATAATCTTTTGCATAATCATTGATCTGGTTGAAAACGTTTCTAACCTAATAAACTTGTAGCGTCTCAAGATGTGTGTTATGTTATGTTAGACCCAAAGCAAAAACTAGAGATTGTATATACTCTGCTCGGAATAAATTCAAATGCAGTGCGTGGGTTATTTATTCTTATGAAATTTCCATAATGTTACTTCTTTTGTCCGTCGTCATACAAGGTAAACCACAAACAGACCTGACGATTACCTCAACCCCACCTCTTTCATCCTCCCCTTACCTAGGTACCTGGCACAGAGATGGAAATCGTTAATCCCATCAGAGCGCTCACTGGTGACAAGTGGACCACCTCCACCAGAACTGTGTATTTGACTAATACCTCATAGCAGGCGTAAAGTCAGGCTTTAATCTCACATAGACCGTAAAAAGGCGGAATAGAAGCCGACTTTGTCGTGCTTGAGGAGCATCCTTCATTTCTAAAATACCTTTGTCAAATCATAGCTAGGTTAACAATAGTTGAAATATTGTTGATTTAGTAGGTTCCAAATTGTTTTTATCCTATCGCGGCGTCCATAAAATCATTCCCTTTCATTCTCTTATCAGTGAAGTTCCATTTCCGTCATGTACCTGCCGTCTTTTAAACCTTTCCCTGTCCATCATGTTCATGGCAAAACATGTCCCATGCTGTTTTATATAAATTGCTTTGAGCTACATTCGTGACATAACGGGTTTCAATCAATACTGTCGTTTGTAAACCGTCTAATCTAACATAGGATAGAATATGTTTTTATGCCGCTTTAGAAGGGGTGGAGTATAAGAATGGGTATATTTTCTGTATATAAGGAATGAAGGAATAAATATTAAAACAAATTTCTTTAAAATTCTACAGCATCTAGGTGGAGTATGATAAACAGTATAAGAGGGAGGGATTATAATAGCCAGTATGGGGAGGGATAATAATAGCCAGTATAAGGATAGTGTATAATAGCCAGTAAAATGAGGAAGTATAATGGCCAGTATAACGAGGAGATATAATAGCCAGTAAAGGGGGAGATTATAATAGCCAGTATGGGGAGGGATAATAATAGCCAGTATAGGGAGGGATAATAATAGCCAGTATAAAGATGGAGTATAATAACCAGTAAAGGGGGGAGTACAATAGCCAATATAGGGAGGGAGTATAATAGCAAGTATAGCTAGGGAGTATAATAGCCAGTATAGGGATGGAGTATGATAGCCAGTATAGGGAGAAATTATAATAGCCAGTATAAGGATGGAGTTTAATAGCCAGTAAAGCGAGGGGGTATAATAACCGGTGTAGGGAGGGAGTATTATGGCCAGTATAGGGAAGATGGAGTATAATAACCAGTAAAGGGGGGAGTATAATGGCCAATATAGGGAGGGAGTATGATAACAAGTATAGGGAGGGATAATAATAGCCAGTATAAGGAGGGATAATAATAGCCAGTATAGGGATGGAGTATAATAGCCAGTAAAGGGAGAAATTATAATAGCCAGTAAAGCGAGGGAGTATAATAGCAAGTAAAGGGGGGAGTATAATAGCCAGTATAGGGAGGGAGTATGATAGCCAGAATAGGGAGGGATAATAATAGTCAGTATAAGGAAAATAAACAACAATGTAATTGTTATAATTATAATATACAAGGGACGGAGTATAATAATAACAACTAATATCATAGTATAATAGCCAGTAGATTATAGCTAGGGAGTATAATAGCCAGTATAGGGATGGAGTATAATAGCCAGTATAAGAATCGAGTATAATAGCCAGTATAGGGATGGAGTATAGGGATGGAGTATAATAGCCAGTATAGGGATGGAGTATAGGGATGGAGTATAATAGCCAGTATAGGGATGGAGTATAGGGATGGAGTATAATAGCCAGTATAGGGATGGAGTATAGGGATGGAGTATAATAGCCAGTATAGGGATGGAGTATAGGGATGGAGTATAATAGCCAGTATAGGGATGGAGTATAGGGATGGAGTATAATAGCCAGTATAGGGATGGAGTATAGGGATGGAGTATAATAGCCAGTATAAGAATCGAGTATAATAGCCAGTATAGGGATGGAGTATAATAGCCAGTATAGGGAGAAATTATGTTAGCCAGTATAATGATGGAATATAATAGCCAGTTAAGGGAGGGAGTATAATAGCCAGTATATGGAGGGAATAATTCAATAGCCAGTATAGGGAGGGATTATAATAACCAGTATAGGGAGGGAGAAATATGATAGCTAGTATATTGAAGGATTATAATAGCCATTATAAGGATGGAGTATAATAGCCAGTATAAGGATGGAGTATAATAACCAGTTAAGGGAGGGAGTATAATAGCCTATAAAGGGAGGGAGTATCATATGACATATGATAATGAGTATATAAGGGCTTGAATATAACACTCGCTTATAAGATATGCAATAAACCAACTGTTATATAATTATATATAAATGGGTTGGTTTTCTATAAAAAAAAAAAATGGAAGAAAATCATATATTTACAATGACGAGCACAAATAACCACATAGTTGACTTTGTATCAATATTTTTCATATAAAATTGTGGACAAAACGTTAGAACTATTTCATATTTCTGCTAGTCATGGACATTTTTTGTACTGCCTCATTGAATATTTATATATTCATCCTTATTCCAATAGTGTCGAATCCATTGCTGTGGGGCATTGAGCCTTGTAACGCTAAATAGTAATACCTACCCTTTGTATTCCCGTCGGACCTCTCAGGTAGATAGGTATACACAGATTTGCATTCAGACAGTTAGCCATTTTATATCAGTGCTATAAAGCATGTGCTGGGTGTTTTGACGGGCGGTTTGTCAGTTCACCCATGCTGTGTGGGCATGGCATTGCATTAATAACATTTGTATAATCAATATAGACGACTAAAAGGATTTTTAAAGAACTGACATTGACTTCTTTCGGGCATGCCAGTTTTAATAAATCCCCTTTTTCATTAATATTGAATGGCAAAGGGAGTCAAGACGTTGGATACGTGTTAACAAGTTGACCCAGTTTACGCATTTACATCTAGTCTTAATTTGTTTGTCTACGATAACGACTGGACGTTCAGGTTAGTAACCGATAGTGACTATGACAAGTTGGCTATTTAAAAGCCTTCGGCCGACACTAATTGGACATTGAAGAAGTATATTGGGGAACATCTACCACCTGGACAAGGTAAGTAACCTGAATCCTAAATAAAGTTACCTGAATCTTAAATATTCTCATTATTAAATTAGTTATTACATACGAGATATATTGGTTTTAGAAAGTTTCAGATGTGTCTCTTGTTCAGTGTTTTAAGCAGTATATAGAAACAACAGTCTGTCTTTTCTTAACCTCTTTAGCACTTACATTGTGACCACCTCTAGTTATGCTTGATGATTAATCCAGAATGGGATAACTATCTCTGCAATATGCAGTATGTGTCGGTACGTAGATAAATCTGCTAAATTCTCAAACTGGTACCTCCTTTTGCATTTTGAGGTTCCTGTGATACAGACCTTACACTGTGATTCTGTAAACTTAATACAAAGACCAATTATACCAAAGCAGAAGGTAAACTAAACTGTGAGACATATAGGTGCTTGCATTCTTCTTAGAACATGACATCTATGTAAAATGTGTCGTTTCTTTTTTTAGTTGCCTTTACATCTGTTTTTTTCGACTTGTTCCGAAATGTTTCTAGCAAACTGTCTTTACTTATATTTATCCACATGTATGTCATCAGGTAAATGTTGAATACGAATGTTTGAAGCGAACGTCTTAATTAATAAGAATTCTATTTAACTTTCTCCCATACAATGTCCAAACGTATGCAATCAGTATATAATAGCGTTTAACTTGCTACTGACGTTTGAACAAATACTCTATTTTAAATACCGTTATCTATCGATGTTCAAAAACATATTTTGGTTAATATTATACTTGAATTGATGTATATATATATTCTGAGTTATCTTTACCGTTTTCTGAAATATAATCAATCTAAAAAGAAAAAATTATAGTATATGTAGATGGTGACATTCAGTGTAAGTGTTACAGTGTATTGACTCGATGTCACTTTCTCTTATACGACAGGTCAACATTCTCTTCATTTCGACACACTATAACGTCATAACGCTCTCTGTTAAACTCAGTTCTTCTGTCTTGAGGATTTCCAATTATAAAAAAAACCCTCATATCTTACATTAATTTAAATGAACAAGTGATGGTTTCGACATGAAAAAACTATATTGACCTCAACTTCGAATCGATTAATATCTGATAACAAGGTCCATATAACCATATGTTCCCTTCAACCAAAGTTCATATTTTATAATTATTAAAAGCATGTTGACTGTGATATGATCTTGGTCTCGTCACCCAGACTCTACAAAAGGCTTGTTAACGTGCCAACATGGTCGTACCAGATACCGGGTAACCAACTTGGCTTAAACCTCGAACTGTCAGACGCACTTGCGGGAAATACAGAACCCCATACGTAACAACAATAAATCCAAATATCTTCGCAAACAAGATTTTGTAGTGACATAATATCAATAAAATTCCCATAGGAATGTATTAATAAAAATTGGAGCCAAACGAAAAAGAAGTATAGCTGCAGCTAAGAGGAAAGGAGCAATCTCTGAGAAAACGACAAAATATGGAATGCATTTGTATTTAGACTAATCGTACGTTCTCATAATATTTTTTTACGTAAACCAGAATACCTCACGCGTGACTGCCCGATATGTGGGCTTTGGGATGTGTTATACACAAATTCGTATAAAGTGTTGTCCTCCCTCAATTGTCTTATCGTAATATGAATAGCACATGTCGACAATGCCGTGTGCTTATCATTGCCAAAGAATTAGTAAATGGTATCGTTCTATCTACAGTAATGAATAAATTGTCGAAGACACGTCCTATTGTTAAGCTATCGGTGTGCTGTAGTCTGTGTCATTGAGTAAGAAACAAAATCATCGGGTCGCCATACCTGATATCGTATTCACACGCGTTTGCAATATTTCACCGATGTTTTAGCATTAGACCTACAGCAGTAGGAGAGGTTTTGACTTTCCCGAATATTTAGATGTTAAAGGTAATCCCGATCAATCAATAAATCTCCATTCTCGTGTCTGACGACTGACGTCTGCCTCTATTTACACGTACTCGCTATAGGACCTGCCACTCAGCGGCAGATAAGAAAAAATGTCAGACAAGGCAAATGTCATACCGGTCGCCTTAAACACATGATTGATTTGACATGTATTCGTCCTCCTTTCAAGACGGATAAAAAACATTGCCAAAACAAATCGGGAACTTCGTATTGAACTATATGTTATCTTTAATGGAAAAGACAAAACTCGTGATTTTTTGACCTCATTCTGAGTATAGTATGTGACGATCTCGCTAACTAACTATACATGTACAAAGAAGCGTTTATCTATGGTGATGCCACATGTGATGTGAGTTATTGTAATGTCACCATGGTTTCTCACGTTGTCCTTGTCCTTGTTGTGTGTTGACGCTGAGGTATATTTGTACTTGTATTTTACATTTAAATTGAAAGACTGTCCGTGCCTCTGTGTTTCTATTATAAATGTGGTGTTTGGTTCCGAACTGGTTTTACGACAGGCAGGTTTTAACCAAAATTCGTCACTCTTGAAATTAACAGTATTGTACTCTATACATATTTTATGTAATATCCGTATATGCAGTAAGTTATAATTATAGAATAATCTCAGCAATGGACATCTTGCGGCATTTTGTAAGTATCTTATTGATTTGAGATATGTTTATGTCACTGACGAGAGTTATAGAGATCCCCCATTGGTTGTCTTATGAATCAAAATCCTGCACACTTGCAAACATTCCAGTTTTGGATATGGTAGAAAATCGCGTGAAAAAAATTCAAATGCTATAAAACTTATTTTCGTAGTTTTTATTTGGCAAAACATGGTTAAAGCAGTTCAATGAAATTGGTTTTAACAAACAAGAACGATATAGGTAATTCTACTGATTTCAAAATTCAAAAATTAGTGTGAAAATCGATAGTATCTCTCCAAAGGTTTGGCAAGTATGATCAGTGTAGTTTATCCAATAGTATCAATTAGTCAATCGAGTAGTGAAATGAACATTTCAAATAAGTGAACCTCTCCCAAAAGGAAATAGACAACTCATCATTTCCGCTTTGCAAGCACACAATAATGGGAGGGAAATCACAGTAACTAATGTAATTATAATGGTTACGTTATAAGTAAGGTTGATTGGCGCAATAAAAAACGAGAATCACTCTAGAACGTTATCTCCATGTGTGGGTAATATAATATGTCTGACCAACACCCAGAGGGGGGCTAAGGTGTCATGAACCTTAAGTGGTTAACACGAAAAGTTCTCGATAAACCGGATCTATAACTAAAGTCTAGTTTTACAACACTAATATATATGTTTATTCTTTCACTGTAAAATAGGAGGGTTTTATTTATTTTTTGTAGTCTATTTGTCCTTAAAAACTCCAATTTAAACACAAGATATGTATATAACGTCATATCGGCAATGGTTAATGATATATGATAGGCTATAGACAAACACCTCTACCACAGGAATGTCTGTGAGAGTGTCCCAAGAGATAAATATCTCCTCGGGATTAAATCCCCGGTGAGAAACCCACACTCGTTGATAAGAGTCAAGAATATTTGTCTGAGTGTATTTAGATAAATTGACAATAAGTAAATTTATTTTACATGTCGATATAAAAAGTTAGTGTATTTTAACGAAGCACTCATCTTCGTATGTCAATGAAATGTTATACTAGGGTATCCACATGTTCGATTATAGATACCCTCGTCATGGTTTCATCAAAACCTCTATGTAATGTCAGTCAGTTAAAAGGACTGTTATATTTAAATGTTCAGACCAGTCTAAAACATAAGATATCAATCTATTAACATAAAGAGAAACTAGAGTGTTAGCTATTGTGTTGTTCATTGAGACATCAGCGATTATATCTTGACTCAGACAGGGTTACAATCTTTTTTATCTCCTACCATTATTGTTTACACTTGCTTTGCTGCATTTTAGAACGGAAAAACACTTCATTATGAATATGCATCACGCTATGCTGAGAATGAACCTGATATATTTTAATGCAAATGCAGATTTTTTGAAGAACGCTACACCCGCCATACACAACCGTTGTAACATACATTTCTTTTCCAGTATGTTACTAAAGCAATTTCGACAATTAAGACTATTTAAGAATGATAAAGTCTGGAATCACATGCTTTTTAAACTATCATTTTGTTTTCAGAGACCCCTCCCCAAATATCAAAAATGATTTTTTATGCAACAATGTGATATTACACTATCAAATTTTGTATTCCTCCCATATAGTATTCATGGTAGGTCTGGAGGGCAAACGAACAAATCATCAGTTTTACCCGTTTGTTATTGGGTTGATGTATCCCTAGTAAATGCGTACAAGATTTACAGTTTTGCCGATATTAAATTTCCTCTCCTCACCCTATAGTCAATGTTGACACTGACTGATAAAGTGGAGGTTTGGCAATAATATAATATGGTATATGGTGATTATATAGATTCATTGTTGATACCGTATCTGTAATATGTTGTACTTCATTCTGGAAAAATCAATCGATAGTAGAAAGGCATATTTAATCCACCATATCAATCAATATTCATATATCGTATCGTGTTTTTGCGTTCATTTGCGAAAAGAGTTGACCCCATATAGAAACAATGCAAAGATATCAAACAATACATATACCAGTAAATAAGTTTTCTTCGAACGAATAAACCTTTCGACGAATTATTAATATGCGACATAATCCCAAATTGAAAAACATTGGTAATATTATACATTTCGTTATAATGTACATAGTGTTGCATACAGCGTTGCTACATTTGTTGAAATACAGCATTGTTACATCCATTTTCTAATATTCTGTTACATACAGTATTGTTATTATACAATATTTGCTACCTCATATTCTGTTACACTCATAATTGGTTTTAATTCTGTAATTCATTGAAAATATTATATGAAATACGAAAAGATTAAGTCTTTTTTCAATTAATTTGCAATAAGCCGAGTGTAAATGTATAAAATATGACTTTAGCTTTAATTTATTTGCGTGTTGGGTTTTAATGTGATTCAAAAGCTGAAAGCAGTC